AACTTTTCCTTGTGCGTCATTGGCAGTACTACGGCTTCGATAAGCTCCTGGATCTGTTTATCCAGGCCACCAATATCGGAATACTGCTCTGTGGGACGCTCATCAACTTCCATGGCCTTAACACGAGCATCGTATTCCGCTGGCAGAGTTTCAAGAATCAGATAAGAGTCCTTATTGACTCCAACTAAATCGCCGGGTTTGAGCTTTTCTGCATCAACCAGGCCAATGACTGGCAAGAAATACGCCTGACGTGTTGAAGTTTTTATAACAGCACATTTGCCTTTGCGTTGGTTATCCAGCACGGTAACGGAGCCGTCATCCTCCTCCTCTTGCGGATCCACATCCAATAACTCGATGACATTGGACACCAGGTATGGCAAAGTTTTATTAACCTAAAATACATTGTATATACATTAACTTATTGTTGTACTTTAGCTAAAATATTTTGCATACCTTTATCTTTTCCGTATTATCTTTGATTTTCTCGTTTTGTGCTTGAATTTCGTGTGTGATCCGCATTACCTCGCTCTTCATAATTTTAATTTCGTTGTCCATCAGTCGAGTCCTGCTCACAATCTCATCAGTGGACATTCGCAGCACTTCTTCGCCCAACGATTCCTCGCCATCCTCCCATATTGATTTATCCTCAAGTGTTTGGGCCATTTTAAATCAACTTGTTTTAATAATAAACTTGGGTAAATAAAAGTTTTCTTATGCCGAGTTAGTTTCTTTACTTTGCGTTTTTAGTCGATGACTTGTAAAAATTTCGTTTTTTTTTTTTTCAGCATTAACCAAGTTTGACAGCTAAATGTGTTGTACAATCATCAAATGTTATCGATGCTTCAGCAAGTCCAAAGCGATTTAAATATCGATAGTTGACTGTTTTACAGCACTGCAAAGGCTTCAAGAGAACGCTTTTTTCTTGTAAAAATTTTTAGCAAACTATAAATCACAAACATATATTTSCATTGCCATGTCCGAAAATAATGGTAAGTGAGATTACTATGTTAATAGGTATTATTAGTCATGYATATGGATCTTGTGCAATTCCTAGTATGGCAGAGGCTCTGCTAGAATCAACCAATATAAAATGAAGTTAAAGTCAAATACAATATCTTTGATTGTTCTTGTGTTTTGTAGAGGCGTCGGTTGAAGCAAACTGCTTCAGAGGCGGCTTTACTTTGAAAGCATCACGTCTTGGCGGAGCTGTGCTGCGACCACCTGTGCTTGGCGACAGTTCTGTAATAAGTTCGGCTCATATTAATACCAACAGCAACAATAATAGTTCGACAGCATTAGCCGGCGGAAGCGAGAAGTCTGATGAGGATGGTATTGTAGGTAATCCGTTTTTACGCGAGCAAAGGGAAGATGAAGATGATGTCGCCGCTCAAGTGGTGGAGTCCACTGAGAATATTGATAAGGATGATGATGAAATCGACGAGCGGCCGGATCCGCTCTCAATGCTGCGCAATAACGGCATTGAGCGCTCCAACATATTTGCTGCAGCTAAAACAACTTTGCCGCGTGTTGAGACAAGTGGATTTATTTTCGGCCAGAATGTGCACGAGCGAGTCGTGGGGGTATGCGTTACACTTAAAAAATGTTTGAAATATATATATGTTGAATGTATTGCAGGAAAATCTGAGCACAGAATCAAGTGCGGAAGCTGCCTCATCTGGAACAGCGGAAGCTACCTCATCGCAGTTGCTATTTTCCAGCGTCATTCAGAAAGCTGCTAAATCGACAGACAACAACAAGGAGACGTCGGAGGCAAAGAGCCTGAACGACGTGGCCCGTGAATACGAGGAGAGCCGTGCTCAGAAACGGAAATATGAAGAGGTGGAGACCTTTACCGGCGAGGAAAATGAAATCAATATTGCCGATGTTAGCTGCAAGTTATTTGCATTTGTCAACAGCAATTGGGAGGAGCGCGGACGCGGTAGTCTACGTCTAAACGATGCCAAGGATGAGCATGACTGCTCACGCGTCGTTTTTCGCACATCGGGCAACTTACGCTTGCTATTAAACACTAAAGTTTGGGCTGCAATGGTGGCCGAACGAGCCAGCCAGAAATCGCTACGTCTAACTGCCATGGACAATACGGGTACCGTTAAGATCTTTTTGGCCATGGGTCGACCTGCAGACATTGCACAGGTGCACAAAGCGCTGAGCGAGCGCATTGCCAAGCGCAAGCTGACGCATCCAGAGGAGTGTGCTGTGGTCGAAGCCAAAAATGGACTTTCATCTGAAGCCTGTGCTGTCAACGTACAGCCGGAGTCAACAACCAACGATGACGATGAGGATGAAGCTGTGGGTGCTGTGGCTGACCCAGTGCCAGCCACTGGTTCCACCACAGCCATTGCCGAAGCGGATAGCAACGAGCCCAGCCCAAAGAAGGCGCTCATGCTGGCGGACAGCAGCGTGGATGTGGTCGTGCCAGCGGCAGATAATGATGCTGAGGCAGAACC